TACAAACACTTTCTTTCACCTTCACCATTTGAAAGGTTAGGAACCTGAGTTCCTCATTACTACGGTTAAATATACACAAAGCATTTTTGCACAGTGTATTACAGCTGTACAACTTGTATGGTGAAATCCAGCAGGAGAAACTAGACTGCAGGTTTGATCCCATACAAATGATAAAACTCCTTCAACTTTTGGCAAGAAAAAAGCATTTTAGAAGCAATGGTAAAGCCTTGTAGGTACCATCACCCCAGCTGAACACCTCAAATGACTTCCTTGGAGATTTTCTAAAGCACTTTAGGTTTCCTTTCCTTTAAAAGTAAAAGCAGTGTTTGAAACACAAAATCCATAAACACGCTGTAATTTATCAATAAGTCTTTTGACGTAGTGTATTGCTACTGATCAACTAGCCGATCAAGAAGAAACACAACTGAGTCACATAGCCTAAACCTGTACAGGCCTGAACACACAGTTCCTGATCAATTTCACAGGGAAATGCCAGAATATTTAATATACAACTGAAAAGGTTTCAAGGTCCTCTCAAGAATCAGAGCATGCCCTTTATGTTCTGATGTGCAGGATTATTATTCTACACTGTGGATTTGGGTGTTGTTTCTTTTCTTTTCAAACCACAATTTCTCTTTCCAGCAGTGTGAACTTCAGAATTAAAACAGAACGAGACTTGTTCCAAGACAGCAGGCTACAACCACTGAGTCCCAAGCTGACTCTGGTTTCAGCACTGCCAGAATACCCGTTTTCCTCCTGCCCATGAAGTCTACCTCCACATACAAAGAGACTATGATAAAGATAAGTGACACAGAACCACAGAGCTCAGAAGTCTGTTAATGAATGCTAATATCTGATTATCAGCTTCTGGCCCACACATAATTTACAGAAGAAAAGGTCTTTGCATAAACACCAAGTCTAGAGTTCTTGCTTTGCCTTCTCTAAAATAAATTCAGGCCCCCAAAGAGTTTATAGATGAACTGGTATAGAATAAAAATACATGCCAGTATTTCCATCTTGTACTGTGCCTACTACAGTAATATGGTGTTTAATTAAAAGATAGGATTCAGAATACATATTTAAAGAAATTTATTTTAAAGCTGGACTTTAACATTTGGCTTACTTGAGCGTAAGCAAAATTCAAGTCTCTTCCCAACCCTGGAAAAGCATATGCATATCCTTAACTTCACACACTGAGTTAGGCCTGCTAATTTCAATAGCAGCAGAATTTCTGCTACAACGTACCTAATGTTTCCACATAGTCTTCAACAAACATACTACTTGTCTTTCATGTATAAAACTTCTCCTGACTTTGTTTTACAGACATGTGAACGTGGAAAGAACTCCCCGATGTTTACAGGGTTTTAGAAGTGTTACTTCACTCATTAGAGTTTGTTATAACTAACGCATCTATGTTATATAATCAGTACAATGGTGCAAGTGACAATTTCGCTTTACATCAGACAGACACCTTCACCACGGTATTCAATAATTCCAACTACCTTTTATTTTGAAAAGCTGCTTACTAACAGGGCTTTCACATTGAACCTTTTAAAAAACACAGCTTTTATTTATGCTATAGAAGGAAGTACCTATCGGTGGAGAAAGTGCTGCTGTCACAGCATTATAATTAAAGTTATCCCCATATGAGCGATGGTTTGCCCTCTGAGGTGGACTCGCTGGTATAGATTGTGACCTTTGTGATACCGTAGAAGAAATTCCTGCCAACATCTGTCCCAACATCTGTAACATCTGGAGCTCTCGAGCATGCTCAGCTTCACGACGCTTGTCCTCAATTTTGAGCCTCTGCTCTTCATATCTGTAAAATTTCTCTTCTGTATCCACGCTCTGTTGCAGAAATTTTTCCATCATTTTATCCAACGTTAAATTTGCATGGCGTTTTTTTGATCTTTTGGGCTGATTGAGAGGTGGAGTAACAGTAGGAGCACTTATTTCTTTAAAGCCTAAAACAAGAGGAGAGAGAATTATTTTTCTGGAGGACTAAGAAGAAAGCGCTAAAAAAACCTCCCTGCGAGATGTGGACCTAACGTGTCACTAAGTTGTTATTCTTCCCCAGTGAGAACTGTAATTATTTCAGATATTTGTATTTCAGAGTACCAAAGCAAAAAACCTCAAGCTTCTACAAAGTCGCAAAGGTAGCACAAAAATCACGCAGACATCTTTTAATTGTTGTAGTACTAAACTTCAACAATGGGAGTCTTTTTGATCTCGTAAAAAGGTTTAAGTGAAGGCTATTAAACAGTAGAGGCTCATTTGTGCATTGCAGGTAATTACATTAATCTAAATTGAGTTTCAGTCTGTTGGCATTCTGGATTTGCATTTCAAAAGGACATTAGTGTAAACAACCCTTTGATGGGGTTTATGTGTAAAAAGAAGGTTGGTTAAACGTCAACCAATTGGCTGATTCCTCAGTGATGTCAACTGCTGAGGACAGGTTCACGTTTGTATTAAAAACACGGCTCTAATCTAGCTTCAAAACAAACAAATAACGCTGCCCCCCCACCTCCACAACACACACACAGAGCCGGGGGGAAAGAAGGAGAGAGGAAGGGGCAGGCTTTATCTGAAGACTTCTCCTGTCTGCCAGCACCCTGCTGAACTTGGAGGCAGGCTTTCCGAAACAACCCAAGCCGTTAATTACGTAAAAGCTACCCCTAGCTCTCTGGCCCGTTTCTGCCACAATAAGCAGATTTTTCCGGGCATTATCTTCATCATCATCGTAATGCCGCTTAGCGGGACCGCACGTCAGCCGAAGGGAAGGGGAAAATCCTCCGGCGAGAGGCGCTCCCTGACGCCTCGCCTCACCTCCGCTGCCAGTCGGCTTCCCCCTGCTCAACCCCAGCCAAACCTCCTCTCCTCGGGGCCTCCATCCCAGCGGCGTCTCCCACCTGCTCCCCTCCCGGGCACCACCCTTGGGAGGCCTGGAGGAGGTGGCAGGTTTGGGAGCGAGGCAGAAGCGGCCGGAGGGGAGGCCGCCCGCTACTCACCGTCGCCCGGCGGCACCGGGATGGCGAAGGGGGGACACTCCACCTTGATGGGGTGGTCGGCGTAGGACGAGCACTCGCCGGAGTCCTCGGTGAAGTTGTCGCGGGGGGACTCCAGCTCGCCGTCCTCGTCCAGCTCCGTGTCGACCTCGCGGCTGTTGTGCGGGGTGCCCGGCGTGGGCGGCCCGCCGAGGGGACCCAGGGGCTGGGGGCCGTCGGGCAGCGGGGCGGCGGGGGGCTCGGGGGCTCCGTCGGGGCCCCCCCTGCAGCTGAGGATGCGGTCCATCTCGTCGTAGTACTTGCAGATCTTGCGGGCGTGCCCGTTCTTCTTCAGCCCGTCCCGGGCCTGGTAGTACTGCCTCTTGAGGCCCTTGATGCGGATGCGGCACTGCTCCGGGGTGCGCTCGAAGCCCAGCTCGGCCAGGCGGCACGCCACGTCCCGGTACACATGGCTGTTGCGAAAGTTGCCGTCCAGCGCCGACTGCACGTCTGCCTCCCCCCAGATCTCCAGCAGCGCCCGCGTCTCCAGGTCCGACCAGAGGAAGCCCCGCGTGTTGGTGATCATCCTCGGCCGGCCGGGGTCACCGCAATGGCCGCGCGCCGGGGAGAGGAAGGCAGGGAGAGGGAGGGACGGAGGGGAGGAGGAGGAGGAGGAGGGAGGGGGCTCAGCGCCCGCTCGCCGCTCGCCCAGGGGGCGCCTGCACCAGCCCCGGCCCGGCAAGCGGCGGGGAGCCGAGCCCCGGGACCCGCATCCCAGCCCGGGCCGCCGCCCGCACGCCAAACTTTTCCCGGCGCCGCCGCCGCGGTCACCTGCAAACAGGGAGGGTTCCAGGGGGGTGGGATAATGGGAGGGGGGGGGGGGGTACAAAAATAAAAAAATAAAATAAAAACCCCCTTCCCCCGCCGCTCGCTCGCTCGCCCTCCGCCGAGAACAACGAGGGAAGAAAGGAAAGGAGGCTCCGCCGCCGCCCCGCTCAGCCCAGCGCCGCCGCTCCCCCGCCCCGGGCTCCTCCGGGAGCAGCAGCAGCAGCAGTAGCAGCAGGACGGCGGCGCTGCCCGCACTCGGAGGCCCGGCTCATGGCAGCGCCTCCCTCCTCCTCCTCCTCCTCCTCCTCCTCCTCCTCCTTCCTCCTCCTCCTCCTCCCCCCGTTCCTCCCCCTCCCTCCGCAGCGGAGCGCGGCTGCCCGCACGGGCACGGCCACCCTTGCACACGCCATCCCCTCGCACACCTTGCACACCGGGCTGCCCGCGGGCACACGCACACCCCCATTTTACCCCCCCCATCCGATCCCAGCAGGTGCCCTCCTGCTCCGACCCGCGGCGGGGACACCGCAGCCCCGCGCCCTCCCCCGGGGGCTCCCCGCTTACCTCGCCGCAGCGCGGGGCCGCCACCACCGCCGCCACCCACCGCCGAGCGCGCAGGCAGGCGGCGCACCCAACTCATGGGCTCGGCTTCCGCCTCCGCGCCGCGCCGGGGCCGGGGCCGAGCCGCAGCGGGCAGGGCAAGGCAGGGCCGGGCTCCGCGGCCGCCCCTGCCCGGCTCCGCTCCGCGCCTCCCCGCGGCGCCCCGCGGCCATCCTGCCCCCCGCCGGCGGCAGCCAATGGCGGCGCGGGGCCGCGCTGAGGCGGTGGCCGCGCCGGTAATGGCCGCCCGCGGCCCGCTGGCAGGCGGCTGCCTCAGGGCGGGCGGCCGGGGCGCTGCTCGGGGTTGTCTGCTCAGCGATGAAAAACGCAGCGGAATTACCGTTTTTATTCATCGCCGCCAGCCTGGGGAAGCTCCTCGCCACCCTCATCTCCCCCGGCTTTCCGGGGAAACCTCCGATTTGGGAGCGTGATACGCGGCGGAGTTGCTATCTATATCCCAGACACGTCATCTTAGAGCAGTGTTCTTGTAAGATTTTCTTTAAAACGCGCCCAAGCCGGTGGAAATACCCACTAGTGTTCATCTCTGGTCCTACAGCACCTACATAGTCAGCGCAATACATCAAAATACAAGAAAAAACGAAATTTTTAGGCACAAGATACCTGAAACCTTAAAGCTCAAAATAGTCCTAATTTCTGCCCTACACTTCTGGGTATTCCCAGCAAGACTGTTGTTAGCTCAGAAGAGCTTCTGGCCTAATTAGAAGTAAGATGTCAACGTCTCGATCAATATTTTGCTAGGATGAAGACAGACAACATTGTCTTTTACATATTTTTTTCTTTACACACAGGATGTGGACAAACAATCTGCTATATTTGCCTGGACCAAACCCAAACAAATGATTTGTGCCCTTCAGCTTTGGAGGCATCATTTTAAAAAGCCATGCTGCCTGCAAATTGCAAGACAGACGAGCTGGGCTTTTAATAATCCAGATCGGACAGTAACACAGGTACCGAAGCAGAAACTTGGATGCCTGACAAGTGCACTGTCAAGTTTTAATTTGTTTGCTGAAAAGTTACTCTCCTATAGGTCCTGGTATCTGATATGATTTTTAAACTAATACCAGGCCAGTGAAACTTGCCTTGTATTCAGTCAGCACAAGTAATGCTTTTTACCCTTTGGTTATTTGACTGTACCACCACCAAAAGATAGGTTCAATGGCAGATCATGCTTAGCTTTCACATGAATTCTAGCCCCCAAAAGAATTACCAGACTGTTGAACACCACATTTCTTACACACATTTTGATTCCAACTGGAAGAATGAAGACAAAGTAGATTTCCTGTAACACCAGGACTGATTTAATGTCTGGGAAAGAGGGGGAAACGAACAATGCAGATGTCTTTTTTGATCCCATCAAGTATTTCTAGCTCCACTAAAAACATGTTTTGTGCCCAAAAAAAAAAAAAAGAGAAAAGGAGAAAGATAGAATTGTAATGTTGTTCTTCACTGGCTTCTCTGGTTTCCTTTGTAGCAGAGTAAGTTCTGATGTTGTAGAACCCTCACTAGTTTTTTTTGGAATCAGTGATGTTTCTGGGACCCAATTCTCAAAGTGGAAAAGAAAACCTAAATGTTGTACTATGTGCTTCCTGTATGCCGAACTTGTTCAGGCTGTTATACACAACCCTTAACATCAATTAATCCAGCCTCACCATACTTAACTGTATGTTAGCAAACACGAGTGTAAAACCGTTGAGCAAAACACATTGCCACTCTTCAAACACTCTATTACTCTGCATCTAACTCTAGTTACATTATTTTGGTATTGTACTGGCTGCTATTTCCATACATTGTACAGTGTGAATCCACAACTACTAGTGCCATCTCTGAGCCTAGCATCAGGACTGTTACTTAACTGGGGGATGAGGCAGGAAAAAAGAGCCATTTATAGAACTACAGAAGATAAAAGGTAGATGAGGTGAGAGTTCACATGCCCAACAGAGAGAAAATGCAACTGCAAAAGGCACTGATTTCTTTGGGTAAATACTGTGCTTTTTTTTACTGAGTTCCATTTTCTGACAGGTCTGTCCATTTGTCTGCTTGTTCATCTCTCACATGAAGGAAGGGAATGACTGTGCAAACTTCCCTTTCATACTTTGGACTAAAATCCTTCTTGCTTCATTGCTGGTTTCTCTGTTGCTGGCCCCTAGCTCTTGATGTCAGCTTTCATTTCCAGCATTTTATCCCTTTTGTAGCTGCACTGTCACCGCAACATAGCTTTCTCATTAGTGGAATTATTACTGCAAAGAAAAGCTGGACATCATTGGCCTACCTGAGAATTTCCTACTCCTGCCAAAGCAGACAAGCAATTGGAAGTGTTACTTAGTAGTAGGTGGCCGTGGTTGCTGACAGCAGTTGGTTGCTGGGAACAGAATGTATATACAGAGATGGGGTGAAATATGGGCGGTAAGCTAGATGTAGAGACCCCCAGATAGCGATCACTCTGGACCATTGTTCTCATCTGCAGGCTCCTGCTGAATCTCCATTCACAACTGCTTTCTTTTTCAGGTCACTTTGTGCCCACTCAGTCCTCGCCATTCACTTGGATCCTGTGATCCTGCCTACCCAAGCCAATCCAAGGTGAACGTGGACAGCAGGTGGCAACAGCAGAGCTTGCAACATCCTTTGATTGCATTCTCCATTCAAATAAATGTCAACCTGTATTGCAATCACCGCTTTAGGTCAGAAAAGCATATCCATGTTAATAATTGCAACAGAAGGTTTAATTGTGTGGAGTGAGGGAATGGAAGAATTCAGAAGTAGTAAGTAGCTTGGAGCTGCCCATAAAATATGACCTAAGATATTTTTTTTTTTTGTTGGAATGGGAATGTGAAAGCATTTTTCATCATGAAAAAGGTGAAAAAGTCAAAAGTCTTTATTTCATCTGAATGTTTACCTTGTTAAATTAGGGGTTGGAATTGACAGTAGTAATAGAGAAGGCAGCAGTGCTGTAGGTGTTACGATAAAGAAATAAGGGGCCAATTCTGCAGGTGTTATGATCAGTTAACTGACTCAGCAGGAGCTGTCAATGTGCACCTGCAGCCCTGAAAGCCAACTGTATCTGGGCTGCATCAAAAGCAGCATGACCAGCAAGCAGGTTGAGGAAGGTGATTCTCCCCCCCCTGCCTTTCTTTTGTGAGACCCCACCTGGGGGCCCTGCATTCAGCTCTGGGGCCCCCAGCACAGGGAGAGCGCAGGAGTGTAAGAACAAGTCCAGAGGAGGGCCATGAAGATGATCAGGGCCTGGAGCACCTCTCCTATGAAGATAGGCTGAAGGAGTTGGGGTTGTTCAGTCTGGAGAAGAGAAGGCTCCGGGAAGACTTTACAGTGGTCTTCCAGTTCCTAAAGGGGACTACAGGAAAGCTGGGAAGGGACTCTTTTTCAGGGAGTGCAGCAATAGGACAAGGGGGAATGGTTTTAAACTAAAAGAGGGTAGGTTTGGGTTGGAAGAGACCTTAAAACTCACCCAGTTCCAACCCCCCTGCCATGGGCCAGGACACCTCCCACTAAGATCAGATTGCTCAGGGCCTTGTCTGTCCAACCTGCTTTTGAACAACACCTCCAAGGATGGGGCATCCACAGCTTCTCTGGGCAACCTGTGCCAGTGCCTCACCACCCTCTGAGTGAAGAATTTCCTCCTAACATCTCTTCTTCAGACTGAGCCTGATAGCTTAGCTTCAATATTGTACATACATGAAAGTAAACCCCTTGCACAAAACACAGTTTTCTGCGCCTTTAAGAGAGACACAGATTCTCAAAATGATGGACAGATTTGTAAAGTATAAATTGGTTTTACTTTAACTGACACATTTCACTTCAGCGCGGGAAACACAGAGTGAACATAACTGCTAGAAGAAGACTACAAGCTATATCCACAAAGGGATTTGAACACTGAAAGGTTCCTCTTTCAGGTACCTCGCTTTCCATTTTTTTTCCCTGTAATATATTGCTAGTCATCTCACACATCCAGTATATCAAATTTAGTGGTGTCCCCAGGTGTTTCTGGAGACTTTGTAGTAGCTTTCCGCATAATGCCCTAAACCTTGCATTTGTTGTCAATCTCAGATTGCTGCATGCCATGGCTGATGTCTTTGCCTCCAGCTGCTTCTAGAGCTCCGCATAATCTTGTTGCTCAAAGGGAAAAGCTGCAGTTCTCTTTTCTCCCTATAAGAGCTCTTCAGGTTACATATTCCTGAGATCTCATACATGAAAAATATACTCCAGTCCTCAGTAAGTCTTCTCTTCAGTATACAAGTATTATAATTTAACACGTGTACCTGAATTTGATTACAGCATCCTAGCATATATGGATGTGTATTATTTCACTCTCTAGTTGCCACAGCTGTATAAATGCATGGCTAGCAAAAAATCATTTTCTCAATGCTGAGGCCAGCTCTATGAGTTTTATTGGTATAATTAATCCTACTGGGGGAAGGGAAGGTCATTTAAAAATAAAAGCCAAAATAGGGCGAAAGTTGTAGGGTGCATGTAACTGTGGCTATAAAGACAACATATCAGAGCGATGATTTTCCTTGCTATATGGGAATAACTATCCCAGCATAAAGCACTTTCATACAAATATAACCATAGCTGTATTAGGAAGTTGGGATAGGAGGGGAATTTTATTACTTTAGATCTATCATGATAATTAAAACAGTGCCTGTTTCTGACAGATGAGCCCCAATTAACCCATGGAAATTTTAAATTACTTCATTTGGCTGATGGTTTTCCATGGAGAAGCACATCCCTTCCTGTGAAGTAAAATCAACTTTGCAAAAACACATTTCCATTTTCTGCCCTTCACTATCATTAACGCCTTTCCTAGGAAAGTGTACTGTGTCAGTGAACAGTGCTCTTCTGCTAGTACATTTGCACAAAGAGTAGTTAATGAGGGCGCAGCAAAGACCAGGGGGGGCAGGAATTTTGCGTGTAAATGTGGGAAGGAGAGTGTTGAAAGATGGTTCCCCAGAACTAGGGCTGACAAACGTCAGGTGTCCAGAAAGCTGATGTATGGCTGGAGAGGAAGGGAGGTGGGTAGCTGCTCAGCCCGTGAGCTGCTGCTGCTGCCTCTGGGTTCACATTAGAAGCGATCAGGCAGCTCACAAAGCCCCTGCCCCATTCCAGGGTCATCACTCCTTACCAACTACCCTCCCTGCATTGTGCTTTCCCACTGTATTCCAATGCTTTCCACCAAAATTGGCCTTGATCACAGGTTGAAATAAGATTATTAATTTTATTTTTGCTCTCAGTAAGTAAAGGAGAGAGGTCTCTGCATGCCCACACTTGCTGCCTGAGGCCACCCAACGGTGTTGCCCAGCTCCAGAGCCTTTCCTCTCCCCCTGTGCCTGCCCACTCAGCCCTTTCCCTCAATGGCCATACTGCCAGCTGGCTCCAGCTTCTCCTGCCACACACTGAGGCTGTCCACTTTGACCTTCTGTTCAGACACTCCCCATGGAAGAAATGGCTCCAGCTGCAAGGAGTACAGCATAAACAGCCCACACTTAACCAAAATCCACCCAGGCAGGACCCTGATGGCAGGAAAACATGGGGTGCACGCAGCAAAAAACAGGTGGTAATGGTCAGAATGTCTTGGGATGCTGAAGCTAGATCTCAGCTAGGGATGCAGAGCTCAAATAATTGCCAATACCATCATTTATCATCTTGTCTGCAATGTCAGGTGAACTCCTATCATACTTAATACATCTCTTCAAACCCACTCTCTCCTCCTTAAAAAGGAAGAGGGCTAAAAGCCCTTTTTAATTCCCTCCACTCTGCAAATAAGGCCCCCAAGACCTTTTACCTTCTCCCTTCTTTAATTACACATCCCACTTCCTCTGTCTAGAGCCCCTACCTTTTGCATCCCCACCCTCCTTCTTTTCTGCTGAGTATTGCTGCCTCACTGCAGTGCACAGTTTGTTCCCTGCTCTGCATTTGTACTTCTTTTGGATATATATATATATATATAATATATATATTTATTTATTTATATATCCTTTGGAAAGTGGATCCCAGCACTACACTGAATGTGAGGGAACACCTTGCAGCGCAGCGGGCGCTGCGGCTGGGCGCCAAGGCTCACACACTTTCACAGGACTGATGTGCATTTTCATACAATACACTGCATGTGCCACAGGTGGGCCATTTCTGCAGGCCACAGAAGAGGGCCAAAGAAATAGTCTGCAAGCTGCCTTCGTCCCAGTTGTCAGATGGTGAGTTACCTGCTGTAAAAAAAGTCTTTTAAGGCACTGCTTTCCAAGTGGCCATGAAGGCTTCCTCCCATTATACGGAAAGCAGATTATTGCTGAACTTATTTGATCCACTCCCAGGGAGCAATAAAAAACACATTTTTCTCAGTAAAAATTCCATCTGGTCTCTGAGATATATTGGTATGGCAAGCTTATGCCTTCCACCGTTGCTGCTCGCATTCCCCATCCAGCCACTTATCAGTTCATCTGTCAGAAGAAGCAGAAAGATTCCCCTTGCACAGACAAAAAGTCACCTCCCGGCAGCCTCTGGTAACTGGTCCTGCATCTATTCTGGCAACTGAAACAGCCTGATTTTATAAGGTTGCAACAACCTAAAAAGGACTTTAACAGGCTGCCCGTTCTGCTCAGGCATTCAGAACTGTCTCTACAAAGAAATTATGGAGTGGGGAGGGAAAGCACTGGAAAGAAAAATTAATCACTCTTGTGTTTTGCTTTTTGTTTGTTTGTTTGTTTCCTGCGAGAGGTCTTTTGTAATGCTTCACAGCAGATGGGAGTTTGCAGTTAGGAAAATCAGCAAACTGAATGCTATTCTTTTGAGATAAAATCTGATGCCTTTCATTTGCAGCTGTGCACACAGAGTCTTAATCCACCCGGTGGTTATCAGGTTCAGAAGCAGCTTTATCAAATTCACTGAGGAAAAAAGGAGAGCCATCGGTTTGGGTCTAACTCCACTCCTGATACCTGTGGGTCAAGTTTGAGACCTCAGGTCTTTCCTCCCATTCCTGTGCTAATTAAAGCTGCTGACCCGTTGCAATTCATCGTGATGACACAAGTGACACAGTCACCTTTCAGAAGCATCACGTTATTTCCAGATAAAAACCACTGAAGAGTATTATCATTCTGGTAAATATTTGATGGGAGAAAAAATACTGTTTATCAGGTTTAACAGATGCTTGAGGTTATTAGTTCTTCTGCCAAGTGCATGCTTTCTGCATGTGCTTCCTCTAACCCTCTTCAGAGGTGCCCTGTTTCTGTGCCCTTCTCCCTCCCTGGTTTCTGTCCTGTTGAGCCAGAACTCACCAGTAATTTTCTTGAGGGCAGAAGGCCTCTCAGGCTCTTTTACCCACCATAAGAATAATGTTAACTACTCTCCAGTGATTCTGTGATCTCAAAGATACAAAGGATGCCTATTGATGCATTAGCCTATGAACATCTCATGTGTGCACAGTCTGGAGATACAGACTTTTTTTTTTCCTGGGCTTCCAAAGTCTGTTACAAAGCCTCTTAGCCTATTCAGTGTGAGTAAAAAGACTCAGAATTGGAGGTCAAAGTGACAAGGATGACCTAATTGTGGAGGTGTGTGAGGACTGCTTCAGAGTTGCGGAAAAAGTGGAAATAAAGGAGGTCAAATAGTTTCAGAAGATGCTTCTGGCTGAGTATTTTTGCCAGGTCATGAGCTGTGACGGGAAATATGGAGTGTAATTCAGCTCCAGATTGTAGACCTCTAAATTTAGCTATTAAATGTAGGTAACTGCCTGTGAGCCACATACCTAAACTTCCATTTCAAGGAATGGAGATCAAGTCCTTAGAGTTATTGGGGCCTGGAGAGCTACTGAGCTCATCCTAAATTAGACATCTTCCAGGCCAGTCAGTCAAAGACCCGCTCCTGCTGCTGCTACGGTACTTCTTAAACTTCGTCAAGTCTATTTGGCACTTACCCAGATACCTAGGGTACCTGAGGATATTCTGGGCTCCCTGAAGCCAGAGGAGCCACATGCAGCCCTCTGGTAACTGTGTTGGCAAGGGGAAATTATGTACCCTTTTGCCCACACAGGAGCACGCCAGATGGTTGGGACAGCTGAGTGTAATGCATCCTTCAGCGCAGG